ACAGGCAAGGCAAAAAAGAATTCGGCTATTGGCTTAATAAGGTATGCACAATCTTTGTTCGCTTTCGCCAAATACCCCGGGATCATCATGATGCTAGTTTGAAGGTTACGCTGCGGATTGGGGGCAGCTTTGTCGAGGCAATCATTCTTCGCGCATGTTAGGCACAGACCGTGCGTTCAGAATACATTTATGGCCTGAATGCATTGTGTCAGTAATGCCTTCACTCAATTTCCCGTATTCGGCGTCAATCTTATGTCAGTCTGGGTAGGACAGAACCGCTCATTTTTGCTTATCTCAACCACACCTGGAGGGATATGCAAGTCACAGCTTGGGTTTCCGTGTCAGGCACGGTCAGAGCTTTACAAAGTGCAGTTAGCAAGAGCCCTTCTGTCTCACCACTTGAGACATTTTGGCCAAATATCGTGAGAACGTAGTGAACGTTCATCAGCGAGTGAATTAATTTGATTCAGAAGTGTAAAGTTGACCGACTGAGCTGAAGAGCGTTCGTTCATTGTGTCGTCAAATTGACACAGACAGGCCTAATATTGTTAGAAGTGGATGTAAGTACAGTCAGATTTGAATTCCAGAAGTGAGTATTTATCGAGAAGTTCTCAGGTGAGGGTGAATTAGGCTGTTGCGTTTATCCCTTTATAAATTGTGATACCTAGACTAACCTACTTTTGACATTCATAATAGACATCTTGCTTTGCGCACGAGAAATGGCCCCCCAAATTGCTCAGTTATTTGAAGACGACCTGGCTCTGATAAGATGCCTTCCCCACTTAAACAACCTTCGCATAGCAGGCGATTTGACTGATCTGGCTATAGAGGTAAGTCTGTGCGGAATGATTCCTTCATAATCTTTTTTTCACATTTCAAGTTGCAAGACCACGTCACTCTGCATGTACACAGCGTGGTTTTGGTCTCCAGAGTGGCCTCGCTGCGTAACTCTGTGTGTGGAACTCGTGGGAAGGAGAAGGCTGTCGTCCTCCAGTGGCCGACAATCTCCTCGGAGTACTACCTCATGATATATTACGACTGCCCTCTAGAGTTGCTCGACCGCTGCTAGATTATGTTTATACAGGTCAGCTGAAAGTCACTCAAGCCAATACAGCTGGTTTGATAATGCTGTCGCAACAACTCGAACTGCCCCAAGTGGAGGCGTGGGTGGTGAGTTTTTTGGCTGATAGGTAAGTGTTTCGGTATTCTCATTAGTCTGCAGGCTGGATTCAGAAAACCTAGGATGTAACTGGGACCTCGCGCAGCTGTTGAACAGTGCCCAGTTAAGAAATGCCTGCCTGCAATACATGAAGACGACCTTCGAGGCCGTAATTGCCAGTGATTTCTTCCTCCAGCTGCCGTCTGACGCTGTCCTGTTCCTGTTGCGGGCAAATGACCTTGAGGTGGACAAGGAGGAGAGCGTGTTCAAGGCGATTCGACTGTGGGTCAGTCCAGGTGGCGAGGTTGATGAAAATCGAGTTGTCCACGCAGCGGAAATGATGAGAGAAGTGCGATGGAATCGAGT